AAAAAAAACAAAGAATTAAGAAAAGAACATTAGAGTTATTAAATTAAAATAAAATTACCAATAAAGAAATTAAGTTTTAAATTGAATTTATTGATTTGAAAATAATAAAGATGAATAGAAGAAATAAGTTATAAGAAGTTATAACTAATAAAATTTATGAAAGGAATAATACAATATTTTTAATTATATTAAAAAAGTATTTAATCATTCTTAATATTATATTTGGATTTAAAGAATGTATAGACTCTGTTTTTAGAAAGTATTATCAGAAGAAGTAATATCAAAATCAATATTATTTTCTTTGATCCAAGATTCTATTTCTTCATTAATAGATAATATTTGTTGATTAATAGATGTCATTTGTTTTAAAGATTTATTCTTCTTTTTTTCATTAATTACTTTTTTTTGTTCCATTTCTGCATTTTGTTTTGCTATTAAGTAACTTTGAGTTAATTCAGTTATATCTCTTTTTTTCTTTTCAAGATTTTTTGCCATTTCTTCTAATTCTCTCATTTCTATGTTTATTTTATTATGAATAATTTCATAAAGTTGTTTGAGATCATTTGTTGTTTCTAAGGGAGTTTCATTATTCATTGTTGTTTTTAAATTTTTAGTTTCTTCAAAGAACTAAGAAATAGATACGAAAAATGATTTAATTTTATGAATTATTTCATTTATAATAATGAATTAAAAGGAGATTGAGGTTCTAATTGTTGTGCTTGATGTTTTTGATCTTTAGATAAATGAATTGAGCACTCCCCAACTCTTTTTCTATTATGATAAACAATACATTTTTCAATATATTGATTTGTAATAATAAATGTTAATGGAAGAATAAATCTTCCAATTTCATGTTCTCTTTCTGTTATAATACAAGTAATCCAATATCTTTTTAATACATCTAAATTAAAATGGTTTAGAGTTAATACAGTTTGTATAAAATTAGTTTCATAACGTTTTGGAGATATAGATAATGTAGTAACAACAGAAGAAAGAACTTTTGAGTTAAATGTTAATAATAAAGGTTTATCTATTTTAGATGTTAATTTTAAATGAATATTGTCTATATTAACTTTTAAAGTTGAAGAATCAACAAAAGATGGTGTTGGAAAATCTTTAAAAGAGAATGTTGAAGTAACACATTTTTGAAGAGTCTTATCTTTTAAATCAATTTCATTTCCTTCATTTAATAAAGGAGATTCTATTTGTAATAAATGTCTACTTGTAGGGTCAATACAATCCCAAATACTTCTTTGAAAAATAATACCATTTGATGCAAATGCTTTAGTACGTCTTATAGCTGTATCAAAAGAAGGTATTTTATTCAACGGAGGTTGTTCAAAAATCGTAAAGAAGATTTCTTGAACATCTGTATTAAGATCTATTTGTGATTTAATAAACATTGATTCATCTCCTTGAATATTTTGTAAAGGATGAAGAGCTAAAAAGGCTAATGTAGTTTCATTTATACTAAATAAAATTGCACTTCCCCAACACTTTAGTTTTGACCATTTTTGTGGTTTAGATTTCTCAAAATAAACATTACTAACTTCAACATTATGTAATTTTTTATATTTTTCTCTTTTTAATAATACACATTGAGCAATTATATCTGTTGTATGAACAGCAACTAATACATATGGAGATATTACTGCATTAAGTAATAAAAAAATATTTTTAAATAAATCAAATGGTGGTTGATAATCTCCAATAAACATTGAAGGATCATAATTACATTTATTTAATTGAAGAACAATAATATCTTTATCATTTTCTTTCATAACTTCATTTAATAATGCACCATCTGGTGGAATTAATATTTTTTCCATATTCCATGTTATAAAACGAATATTAATTTCTTTTGATAAAGAAGGTAATAAATATGATGATGAATTATTTCCAATATCAAGAAGATTTAATCCAGGTGGTGGTGCGATTAGTCTTGATTTATTTAATTGAAATGCAAGTTGATATGATAATGATATTTCAGAAATAAATAACATTTTTGGTAAACTTGTTGTTTTAGTATATAATAATAATATTCTTGGATCATGGGTAATATCACATGCAATAACATCATCTAATAACATAGAAATACATAGTCCACTTTCAATTAAATATTCAGTATAATGTGTTTTTGTAATATGAATATGAATTTTTGTTTGATTTGCTTTTTTCATTGAAATATCTGTTTTTAATACATTACGAATGCATAAAATTACATTATCACAAGACTCTTGTTGTTCTGAAAAAAATATTTTTCCTAATAATAAATTTAACATTTCTTGTGGTTTTTGATATTGTCCTGTTGTCATAGAAATAAATGACCTTTTGACTGATGTTTTTCCATCAGATAAAACACCACTAAATCCTCTTTTACCATTTCTAGTATAATCTGTTTTCATTGCTTTAGTTCCTGTATATCTAAAACTCATTTGATTAGCATGGTCTGCCCAAATATTCATATAGTCTGTATTTATTGAAATTATTAATTGTGGATTTTGAACATTAAATTCTTTTAATTGTAATTCAAGAATCATTTTACCAATACATGATTGTATTACATTTGTTCTATCTAAACAATCAATACAATTTGTTCTTATTACACCATTTTGTTGATTTAAAATTCTTCCTTCATTATTAATTGTAAAAAAATTAAATGTCATCATTCTTTTATTAATTGAATTAAGTAAATATCTTATATTTTCATATTTATTATTTGCACATTCTTTATGAAAGTCAAATGCATAATAATCTACTTTTAATTTATTATTAAGTCCTAAATAAAATTCATACATATCATGTAATACTTTTTCTGGTCCATGATTATCTAATAAATTAATAGCAATAACATCTCCATATATTTGTTTTAATTTTTCAAAATGATTTGTAATGCACCAATCTTGATATATTGTTTGATAAAATTTCCCTTTAGGTCTGAAAGTATCTTCTTCATTTGTTTTCCAAATTAATGGAATAGTTCCTCGTATTTGAACAAAACTAGAAATCATTCCATCTTTTTCAATTATTTGTTCTGTTTCAACAAAATTAGAAACATTCCCATTAATATCACCACCTCTTGAAGAAAATCTTAATCCAGTTCTTGAACAATCTCTTCTTGAAAATAAAACATAATTAATTCCATATTCAAATTTTGTTGAACGAATAAACCCATCTACAAAAATAATTTTCCATTCCTTAAATCCTTCAATCATTTTATGCATACTTTTATTCCAATAAAATCTATCATCTATTTTTTCATTTTGTTTCTTCATTTCTTGAAAACGTAATGTTATGTTCATATCATAACTATAATACAATAAACAATCATCAAGCATTTTCTTAATATCTTGTATGAGTTTATTGTCAGTTTTGTATAAATCATTTTTTATTGTTGGATGAATCAAAGGAAGAATTTTAATATCAACTACATTTCTTATTACTTGTCCATTAATTTCTACACATTTTATTCCTTTAATACCGATACAAACAACACAATTTGGTAATGTGATAAATCCCATAAGTTCATCAAACTTATATTGTTGTAATAATTGTCCATTAAGTGGTTTCTGCTCAAATATTTTTTCTTCATATTTGAATGATAATTTTGTTCTTCCTTCTTTTTCTAGTAATACACCATCTGATAAATAAGAAACAATTATTGGGTCAGTCATTTCTGACTTAATACGTCTCATTTTTAAGTTAAATAAAAGGAAAAAATTAAAAACAAAAAACAAAAAGAAATAAACAGAAAAATTTAGTTATTTAAAATATCTCTTGTTTTTACTTGAACCATTTTTTTATAACTCTTAGGATTTGGTGTTGAAATAAATGGCATTGACTTTTGATGTTGTTCTATTTGATTTATAAGTCTTTTATTAATAATACGTTCAAGTGTTCTTTTTGCATCATCTAAATTTCTATATCTTTTCATTGTTGTTCTTAACTTCTTAAAATATACTTTATCATCTTTTAAATCTTTTTCATTTATTTCAAATGATTTAAATGCTTTTTTTCTTTTATCAAGATCATTTACTGTTTGTTCATCATATTTATTTGTCTTTTTACCATCACAACACAAAATAAGAAGTATCAATAGATAAAAAAGAGTTTTCATTGTCATAAATTAATATTATATTATTTTAAGTTCATTAAATGATTTAAATTAAAAAAAAA